CTACACCCTGTGGGGGTGGGGGAGGTAACTACACCCTGTGGGGGAGGTAACTACACCCTGTGGGGGAGGTAACTACACCCTGTGGGGGTTGGGGGGTAACTACACCCTGTGGGGGTGGGGGAGGTAACTACACCCTGTGGGGGTGGGGGAGGTAACTACACCCTGTGGGGGTGGGGGAGGTAACTACACCCTGTGGGGGTGGGGGAGGTAACTACACCCTGTGGGGGTGGGGGGAGGAAACTACACCCTGTGGGGGAGGAACCTACACCCTGTGGGGGAGGAAACTACACCCTGTGGGGGAGGTAACTACACCCTGTGGGGGAGGTAACTACACCCTGTGGGGGAGGTAACTACACCCTGTGGGGGAGGTAACTACACCCTGTGGGGGAGGTAACTACACCCTGAGGGGGAGGGGGAGGTAACTACACCCTGTGGGGGTGGGGGAGGTAACTACACCCTGTGGGGGTGGGGGAGGTAACTACACCCTGTGGGGAGGGGGAGGTAACTACACCCTGTGGGGGAGGTAACTACACCCTGTGGGGTGGGGGAGGTAACTACACCCTGTGGGGAGGGGGAGGTAACTACACCCTGTGGGGGAGGTAACTACACCCTGTGGGGGAGGTAACTACACCCTGTGGGGGGGGGGGGGTAATTACACCCTGTGGGCGTGGGGGAGGTAACTACACCCTGTGGGGGAGGTAACTACACCCTGTGGGGGGAGGAAACTACACCCTGTGGGGGAGGAAACTACACCCTGTGGGGGAGGAAACTACACCCTGTGGGGGAGGAAACTACACCCTGTGGGGGAGGAAACTACACCCTGTGGGGGAGGAAACTACACCCTGTGGGGGAGGAAACTACACCCTGTGGGGGAGGAAACTACACCCTGTGGGGGAGGAAACTACACCCTGTGGGGGAGGAAACTACACCCTGGTTGGGGTGGGGGAGGAAACTACACCCTGTGGGGGTGGGGGAGGTAACTACACCCTGTGGGGGGGGTAACTACACCCTGTGGGGGGGGGGTAACTACACCCTGTGGGGGAGGGGGAGGTAACTACACCCCGTGGGGTGGGGGGAGGTAACTACAACCCTGTGGGGGTGGGGGAGGTAACTACACCCCGTGGGGGGTGGGGGAGGTAACTACACCCCGTGGGGGTGGGGGAGGTAACTACACCCCGTGGGGGTGGGGGGAGGTAACTACACCCTGTGGGGGAGGTAACTACACCCTGTGGGGGGAGGTAACTACACCCTGTGGGGGGGGTAACTACACCCGGTGGGGGAGGTAACTACACCCGGTGGGGGAGGTAACTACACCCTGTGGGGGAGGTAACTACACCCTGTGGGGGAGGTAACTACACCCTGTGGGGAGGGTAACTACACCCTGTGGGGGTGAGGGAGGTAACTACACCCTGTGGGGAGGGGGAGGTAACTACACCCTGTGGGGGAGGTAACTACACCCTTTTGGGGGTGGGGAGGTAACTACACCCTGTGGGGGGGGTAACTACACCCTGTGGGAGTAACTACACCCTGTGGGGAGGTAACTACACCCTGTGGGGGAGGTAATACCCCCTTTGGGGGGGGAGGTAACTACACCCTGTTGGGGGGGTAAACTACACCCTGTGGGAGGGGGAGGTAACAAACACCCTGTGGGAGGGGGAGGTAACTACACCCTGTGGGAGGGGGAGGTTAACTACACCCCTGTGGGAGGGGGAGTAACCACCCTGTGGGAGGGGGAGGTAACTACACCCTGTGGGAGGGGGAGGTAACTACACCCTGTGGGAGGGGGAGGTAACTACACCCTGTGGGGGGGGGAGGTAACTACACCCTGTGGGAGGGGGAGGTAACTACACCCTGTGGGAGGGGAGGTAACTAAAAACCCTGTGGGAGGGGGGGTAACTACACCCGTGGGAGGGGGGTAACTACCCCCCTGGGGGGGGGAGGGGGAGGTAAACTACAACCCTGTGGGAGGGGGAGGGCGGGGGCTGTGTGTGGGCAAGGTAACCCTGGTGCTCACCTATAGACCTTGTTGAAAATAACATAATATTGTCAGTGTACACACTGATTGTGTTTGTGCTATGAGTGTGTGTTTGCCTGTGTGTTTGTGTTATGAGTGTGTGTTTGCCTGTGTGTTTGTGCTATGAGTGTGTGTTTGCCTGTGTGTTTGTGCTATGAGTGTGTTTTTGCCTGTGTGTTTGTGCTATGAGTGTGTGTTTGCCTGTGTGTTTGTGCTATGAGTGTGTTTTTGCCTGTGTGTTTGTGTTATGAGTGTGTGTTTGCCTGTGTGTTTGTGCGTGTTCGTATCTCACTCTCTCTCTCTCTCCAGGCTCCTCTGGTGTTCCAGAGACCTGTCTCTCCTCCAGCGGTGGGTCTTCTGTGGGTGGAGATGCTGCGTTTTTATTCGCTGGAGTTCAACATGGCGGAGTGTGTCATCAGCGTGCGTACCAGCCTCGTCTTATCACGGGACGCCAAGGACTGGCCCAAGAAACGCATTGCCGTGGAGGGTACGACCTTTGACCTGTACCATCCACCTCTCAAACCGTCAAACTCCACTACCAAACATGTTTTGGCATTGGTAGCTATTCAACCTGACCCAACTAGCAGCCTAGTGTAGTTACATGCATCATATTCTTCAGGGAGCCCAGATTAAGATCCCCTATCTTTCACTCTTAAGGTGCTGACAGACAGCGCGAGGCGGACGGGGTGGCCCATTTAAATGTTCAATGAAGCCTAGGCGGGTGGCGAAATTCTGTCCAGGAGGAGTGGTCCGGCGGTGCCCATGGAAGCCGCTCGGCGGAGGCGGAGAGAATAGGGTTCTGCAAGCGGTGCCGTTGTTGTTGACCAATCACAGTAGAACATTTAGCCTGCGTGGTGATACATTAGCACCAGGGTTTCCATTGGCTGGTAAATACCTATTTATTCTTTTTTAAAGCCAATAAATACAATTGTTGCCAAATTGTCCAGAAATCCATAGCAAAATAATTGATGGAAATACCAGTCCATGTGCTCCAACTTCAAGCTTCTGGACATTAGTGTTGGGGGTGTTTCTATTTTGACTCACACAGAAGACATGAGGTCCTCATAAGGGACTTGGTCGAAGATTGTGTTGATTCTTTCTCCAAAACAGAGTAAAGACGGCCTCCAGATCGCTCCTTCTTGAGGACAAAGTAATGAGGCTGATGTGCATCAAGCCGCTCCATGGAGTAGGACAGTTTTGACTTCCCAAAGCAACGGCTCACTTAAATTAGAAGTAAATGATTGTGTTCGTCAGGCGCAGTTCTGCTCCCGCCCTAGGCGAGATCAACATGTCCCGCCCCCGTGTCATGTATAGAATTACGATTTGGAATGGATTGATAGAGTAGAGTAAAGTCATGTGTATCAGGAGCAGTTGGTGCATTTCAGTTGACCTTATTCCGTAGCACTTGGAGACAGAGTAGGAAACAGAGTTGTTATCAATCACCAGGCAGCCAACTGTCTATAGTAGGAAACAGAGTTGTTATCAATCACCAGGCAGCCAACTGTCTATAGTAGGAAACAGAGTTGTTATCAATCACTAGGCAGCCAACTGTCTATAGTAGGAAACAGAGTTGTTATCAATCACTAGGCAGCCAACTGTCTATAGCAGGAAACAGAGTTGTTATCAATCACTAGGCAGCCAACTGTCTATAGTAGGAAACAGAGTTGTTATCAATCACCAGGCAGCCAACTGTATATAGTAGGAAACAGAGTTGTTATCAATCACTAGGCAGCCAACTGTCTATAGTAGGAAACAGAGTTGTTATCAATCACTAGGCAGCCAACTGTCTATAGTAGGAAACAGAGTTGTTATCAATCACTAGGCAGCCAACTGTCTATAGCAGGAAACAGAGTTGTTATCAATCACTAGGCAGCCAACTGTCTATAGCAGGAAACAGAGTTGTTATCAATCACTAGGCAGCCAACTGTCTATAGTAGGAAACAGAGTTGTTATCAATCACCAGGCAGCCAACTGTCTATAGCAGGAAACAGAGTTGTTATCAATCACCAGGCAGCCAACTGTCTATAGTAGGAAACAGAGTTGTTATCAATCACTAGGCAGCCAACTGTCTATAGTAGGAAACAGAGTTGTTATCAATCACTAGGCAGCCAACTGTCTATAGTAGGAAACAGAGTTGTTATCAATCACCAGGCAGCCAACTGTCTATAGCAGGAAACAGTTGTTATCAATCACCAGGCAGCCAACTGTCTATAGTAGGAAACAGAGTTGTTATCAATCACCAGGCAGCCAACTGTCTATAGTAGGAAACAGAGTTGTTATCAATCACTAGGCAGCCAACTGTCTATAGTAGGAAACAGAGTTGTTATCAATCACTAGGCAGCCAACTGTCTATAGTAGGAAACAGAGTTGTTATCAATCACTAGGCAGCCAACTGTCTATAGTAGGAAACAGAGTTGTTATCAATCACTAGGCAGCCAACTGTCTATAGTAGGAAACAGAGTTGTTATCAATCACTAGGCAGCCAACTGTCTATAGCAGGAAACAGAGTTGTTATCAATCACCAGGCAGCCAACTGTCTATAGTAGGAAACAGAGTTGTTATCAATCACCAGGCAGCCAACTGTCTATAGTAGGAAACAGAGTTGTTATCAATCACCAGGCAGCCAACTGTCTATAGTAGGAAACAGAGTTGTTATCTATCACCAGGCAGCCAACTGTCTATAGTAGGAAACAGAGTTGTTATCAATCACTAGGCAGCCAACTGTCTATAGTAGGAAACAGAGTTGTTATCTATCACCAGGCAGCCAACTGTCTATAGTAGGAAACAGAGTTGTTATCAATCACTAGGCAGCCAACTGTCTATAGTAGGAAACAGTGTTGTTATCAATCACCAGACAGCCAACTGTCTATAGTAGGAAACAGTGTTGTTATCAATCACTAGGCAGCCAACTGTCTATAGTAGGAAACAGAGTTGTTATCAATCACTAGGCAGCCAACTGTCTATAGTAGGAAACAGAGTTGTTATCAATCACTAGGCAGCCAACTGTCTATAGTAGGAAACAGAGTTGTTATCAATCACTAGGCAGCCAACTGTCTATAGTAGGAAACAGTTATCAATCACCAGGCAGCCAACTGTCTATAGTAGGAAACAGTTATCAATCACTAGGCAGCCAACTGTCTATAGTAGGAAACAGAGTTGTTATCAATCACTAGGCAGCCAACTGTCTATAGTAGGAAACAGAAGCCACATATATCACACATGAGTCACGACCCCACGATAGTTCAAATTACAATAAACATCATCTAGTAGAACTGTAAAAAAGAGTGAAATATAATTTGAGCTTTGGAAACAAGTGCTTTCATAAATGCATGACGCCTCGTTTCACAGGAGCATTGGAAAATAAGCTTTCTCTCAATCAAATCAAACGTTGTATTTTATTTGTCACATTCGCCGAATACAACAAGTGTAGACTTTACAGTGAAATGCTTACGAGACCTTTCCCAACAATGCAGTTAAAAAGTAAGAAAGGTAACAAATAGATAAGAAGAAAATAGTATCACAACAACAATAACGGGGCTATATACAGTCTATGTACAAGGAGTACTGGTAATAATAATAATAATAATAATAATAATAATAATATGCCATTTAGCAGACGCTTTTATCCAAAGCGACTTACAGTCATGCGTGCATACATTTTTGTGTATGGGTGGTCCCGGGGATCGAACCCACTACCTTGGCGTTACAAGCGCCGTGCTCTACCAGCTGAGCTGCAGAGGACCAAGTCAGTGTACTGGGGTACAAGGGAGTTGGGGTGATTTATTGTGGAAATACACTATATATACAAAATATGTGGACACTCTTTCAAATTTGTGGATTCGGCTATTTCAGCCTCAACCGTTGCTGACAGGTGTATAAAATCGAGCACGCAGCCATGCAATCTCCATAGACAAACATCGGCAGTAGAATGGCCTTATTGAAGAGCTCAGTGACTTTCAACGTGGCACCGTCATAGGGATGCCATCTTTCCAACAAATCAGTTCGTCAAATGTCTGCCCTGCTAGAGCTGCCCCGGTCAACTGTAAGTGCTGTTATTGTGAAGTGGAAACGTCTAGGAGCAACAATGCCTCAGCCGCGAAGTGGTAGGCCACACAAGCTCACAGAACGGGACCGCCGAGCGCTGAAGTGCAACACACAACAAAAAGTCTGTCCTCATTTGCAACACTCACTACTGAGTTCCAAGCCATCTCTGGAAGCAACGTCAGCACAAGAATAGTTCGCTGGGAGCTTCATTAGGGTTTCCGTGGCCGAGCAGCCGCACACAAGCCTAAGATCACCATGTGCAATGCCCAGCGTTGGCTTGCCGCCATTGGACTCTGGAGCAGTGGAAACGGGTTCTCTGGAGTGATGAGTCACGCTTCACCATCTGGCAGTCTGACAGAAGAATCTGGGTTTAGCGGATGCCAGGAGAACGCTACCTGCCCCAAGGCATATAGTGACAACTGTAAAGTTTGGTGGAGGAAGAATAATGGTCTGGGGCTGTTTTTCATGGCTCGGCCCTTTACTTCCAGTGAAGGGAAATCTTTTGTTTTTAATTATTTATAAAAAATATATATTTTACTTTTTCTCCCCAATTTCAATCTTGTCTCATCGCTGCAACTCCCCAACGGGCTCGGCAGGCGAAGGTCGAGTCATGCGTCCTCCGAAACATGACCCGCCAAACCGCGCTTCTTAACACCCGGCCGGAAGCCAGCCGTACCAATGTGATGGAGTGAACACTGTTCACCTGACGGCCGAGGTCAGCCTGCAGGCGCCCGGCCCTCCACAAGGAGTCGCTAGAGCGCAATGAGCCAAGTAAACCCCCGGCCAAACCCTCCCCTAACCCAGACGACGCTGGGACAATTGTGCGTCACCCTTTGGGACTCCCAATCACGGCTGGTTGTGATACAGCCTGGGATCGATCCCGGGTATGTAGTGACGCCTCTAGCACTGCGATACAGTGCTTTAGATCGCTGCGCCACTCGGGAGGCCCCAGTGAAGGGAAATCTTAAAGATACAGCATACAATGACATTCTAGATGATTCTGTGCATCCAACTTTGTGGCAACAGTTTGGGCAAGGTCCTTTCCTGTTTCAGCATGACAATGCCCCCGTGCACAAAGTGAGGTCCATACAGAAATGGTTTGTCGAGATCGGTGTGGAAGAACTTGACTGGCCTGCATAGAGCCCTGACCTCAACCCAATCATACACCTTTGGGATGAATTGGAACTCTGACTGCGAGCCAGGCCTAAATGCCCAACATCACTAATGCTCTTGTGGCTGAATGGAAGCAAGTCCCCACAGCAATGTTTCCAACATCTAGTAGAAACCCTTCCCAGAAGAGTGGAGGCTGTTACAGCAGCAAAGGGGGGACCAACTCCATATTAATGCCCATGATTTTGGAATGAGATGTTGGACGAGCAGGTGTCCACATACCTTTGGTCATGTAGTGGATGTATATGTAGTAAAAAGCAGAAAGTCCGGGT